CCCATGACACCTAGTGGTGAACACCTGATATAACAGCACCTCATTCTGGTGTAATACACATCTGTTTGCAAACCATTGTAAAGTACAGGAATTCTAGCTGTTATACCATCCATGCATTTTTTAGTTCATTTGATTCCTATGCTCTTTCCTGCTTCTCCATATTTGTCATTTTCACACTGAAGTTTCCTTCCTCCCCTGGCATTTCTCATTAAGTGATTGTCTTTTGTGAGCTACTAAGTACATCTACATGGACAATTCATTTGAAGCAATAAACTCTGGAGCAGTTTAAGCCAGAACAAATTATCCTGGGTGCAACATCTACATGCACACCCAGGAAAGCAGCATTTTGAGCCAGGGCAGAGCAATTTACAGCAGGGATACTCCTGTCCTGCTTGGCCAGGGCTGGCAGGGGGCACAGGGGGTCAGCCCCAGGTTCTAGGTGGCAGCATTGGGTGGCAGGGGGACTGGATGAGTCACAAGGGTGCTGAGAGCGTGAAGCGGTGTGGCTAGGTAGCAGACAGGAGTCTGGCTCCCTGCTGGCTGGGCTGACTGGGTGCAAATTACACCTGCGGTCAGCATTTGCACGTGCATTTAATTGCAGTCAATTACTAAGACAATACTGTCCCTGACAATATTATTTTACGGTGGCATTAATTTGTTTACTGAGGCCTAACAGTGTTGCATATGTAAATGGTAACTATGGCAGGGTACTGTTGGTGCCTGCCACTTTAAGGGCTGAGCCAAACAGCCAGCAGGTGCTTGATTATGGCGGCCATTTTAGACCTCTGGCCGCCTATATAAACAGAGCAGTTAGCTGCCTGGCTGACAGGCAGTACAAAATTTCTTGGAGGTAAGGACAGGAGCTTAAGGGGATGGTTTGGAGACTCCTGGTCCTGGGAATGACCTAAAACTACACCCTGCCGGGAGTGAGTGGCCTGGTGGGGCTCCCAGTGGCATGGGAGCCCCCAAGAAATACCAGGTCAGTTACCACCCCTGGTGAAAGGTGGGTCAGGGTGCCTTAATCCCTAGCCCCCACAATACTGTGGGTACAAGGGGGCCAGGCATGGCTATGGCCAGCTGAGCCTAAAGAGAGTATAAGACCCAGGTGGGACCAGGCATGGCTATGGCCACCTGAGCCCCCACCGGGGAGGGAAGCCCTGTGGCCCAGTGAGGGGGCAGAGATGTGAAGCCCCAGTGAGGGGACAGCCCCGGTGAGGGGGCAGAGATGAGGAGCCCCAGCAAGGGGGAAACCAGAGGTACTGGGAGCCCAGTATGTGTGTGTGAGTGTGTATAGAGTTGCTCTAGGAGGGGCCAGGGCAAGGTTGGACTTGGTCTGGTAATTGGCTGGCCACTTCCCTGGTGAGGGTTGTGGGAGAGGCCCAAAAGACGATACATCTGCCACCCAATGGGTGCACTAGGTAAAGCCTATGGCCGAAGGGTAGATGTAGCCACTTTTCCCAACTGGATGCACAAAGAATCAGCAGAATCTCAAATCTACTTCAACTGCTGTTGATAATGATTATTGCCTATCCAGCAGAGGAAATTAATTTAATGTAGACTCTTTTTAAATGCTTAAGGTATTGCATTTTCATCTTAATGAAGTGAATGGGACTTAAAAAAAGAAGCCATGTCAGTGCATGTACTAGTCCTGATTACCTTTGTCAGGCCACTGCTTTGAATCTGATACCACATGAACCTGGTGTCCAGTGGGTACATCTACACAAGATGCTGCACAATGGTTACTGCACATTCATTTAGTACATGTATAAGCAAGTACTAAATAAATGTGTAGTAACTGGAGTTACTGTGTAGTAGCACCAGCAAACTCCTTTTAAGTGACGCTGCTGTGCAGTAACTTAATACTGCTGCACAGTAGCATCTCAGCACAGTTTTTGCCAGTATCAGCCTACTGCACAGTCAGCGTCTCATGTAGACACACCCACTGAGAACCACACAATGAATTTGAATAAACTCTCAAGAACAATGGAAATATTATCTGTGTATTTGAAATACTTTCCCTCCTTCCCAAAATCTCTGCTGCAGGCACAAAGATTCATACAATTTAGGACCCTCTGAGTTTAAAGTGGAAATGCTGACCTGATGGTATACTGTAACAGCTTAGACTCTTACAACATTTCTAGGACACCAAGATTTAGGGCCTAGCTCTGACCTCCTGATTCTCACTAAAGGCAATAGGAGACTTGCCCAGGTAGGGAGTGCCCAAGGCATGACCTCTGAGTACTCTGGATGCCTCTGAGTTTTGCTGCCCCACTATATAAATACATGAAAAAGGACATTTTCCAGAAAGCCAGAATTGCTCCTCTGGAGCTGCTGTAACAGAGGAGATCAAAATGACAGCAAGTCTCTTGGTTCAATTCAAAGTAAATTCCTGAGTTCTCATATAGCAACCAGGACCATACACAGCATCTTGGCACCAAAGGGAGGCAAGAATTAATGACAGCTCTTCAGCAGCTTGTCCAACCAAATGTTGTAGACAGTGTATTACAACACAAAGGACTGACAGATATGGTAAGTACAGGCATTTATGAAAATGAGGGCCAGTCAGAAAAAAGAATTTCCATCCTATAGAAGATCCTGACATTTGAAATTTTCTTTGAATTGAGATGAAAAATTGCAATTTCTTTCAAAATAAAAACTCAAATGTTTAATTTAGTAACATCAAAAGATTTCATTTTGATTACTTAATAAAATAATATGAATTGAAATAATACAATTTAAAACGTTTTCCTAATTGAGAGAAAATACTGAAGCTAAGCTAAATATTTCAGCAGTATAGAAAAAGGAGCCTGAAATTGGAACTTATTTACTTTGACATTTTTTCCTGCAAAAACTATAATAAAAATGACCAGTTCCTGTGAAATATTTTGGTTTTGACAAAACTGCATTTTCATATGAAAAAAATGTTCCATTATTTTTTTTGGTTGAGCTGTAAGCAGAACATGTCTTCATCACTCCTGAGTGAAGACCACTGTGAAAACATTAATATCAGCCTGAAGAACAGGTTTTTTCCAAACATTTGCATTATTCCAGTAATTGATTCAAGATGTACCTGCATTCATTCTCCTGCTTTAAAGCATTAAAGAAGGCATAGTCCCTGCCCCAAGGAGCTTACACTTGGAAAATAAAGCAGAGAGAGAGAGAATGAGAGGGAGGAGCTAATAGAGGCATAGATGGCCAGGAATGGAAGGGCCTGATCATGCAAAATGTAAAGACATGGGGACATGTCCTCAACTAAATACAAGTTCAGGTAGCTCCATTGTCTTCAAAGCACTGCACCTGTTTACCCCAATCAAGAATTGGCCCATGAGGTTTTGCACATATAAGGCACCTGCCTGACATTACCATACAAGAATGTGATCAAGGTAATGGTGGGTCTGCAATAAATTTTCAGAAGTTGTCGGTGCTACTCAGGAAAATAATGCCTTTCTAGGGTGAGTAGAGGGTTCAAATTGTAGCCATACAAATGTTATCAGATGTCAGCCTTTTGAAGAGCCATTGTTTTCTCTTACAATTCTACTATTTAAAATCAGGCATGTAGATCATTTTTTTTAAAGCATTACAGAGGAAGGAAAGAAAGGAAAATCCTCCCCTCCGTAACTGTCGCAGTTCAAGCAGTTCCATACAGCCAAATCAAAGTTTCGTATCTATTCCTGGGGCTGGATCCTAAATTGGCTGCAACCCATGTAGTTTTGTTAGCTTCAGAAGAGCTATGCCAATTCATATGAGCTGAGGATCTGGCCCCTGATTTATGATGGAGGCATTGGCGGCCCCTTAACTAGGGTATTGCAAATGGCAGTATTATACCAATACCATGGCACAGGATGCTCTAGCTGTCTATTACTCCCAAAGGACTTGTTTAAGGGCAAGAACCATGATGAATACAGCTTAGGTGGCTCAATTACTTAGGGACTCAATTACTTAAAACAAAGAAACTAGATGAAAAAAAATGACAAAAATTCAAAATTATTTCTCTGCTGGAGGTCACATATAACAGCCCTGTCATCCATAAATCTGGAAGTCTCCAAGGCACTCTATTCCTAGAGTTGAGAGATGACAATTAATTGGTATTTTACTTACCTCATCCATGCAAATTATGCAGGAAAGCCTCTAATTACTGTGTGTTACATGTATATAAGGTCAGGCTGGGCCACTTTTTGACAGTGGTGTAAAATGGATTATTGTGTACCCACCCTGTTGGGGCCCTGATCCTACGTGAAGATCTGCTCATACCCACCCCAGGATTCATGAGAGGGAATCCCACACAAGCTGATGAAAATGTCCACTGGTGCAAGGACCTCTTCTGGCAGAAGTCCACCCAGAACTGGAACCTAGATTCCTGGTAAAAGCTAAATGAAAGAGGGGGCACAAACTAAGGTCTGACAGAAACAGGTCTTCTATGAGACACTTGAGCAAGTGAAACCAATGATGTAGGGAATAAGCAGTTTTTAGATGTGGCTGTGAACAATTTATTAAATTTTGGAGACAAGCATTTTTAAATGATTACAAATCCCACAAGATTCTTTAACAGCACAGTGATCGTATCAAGATCTGCATGGAAGAAAGTCTGAACCCACAAAAAGTAGCAGTTTCCTTTTCAGTGCTAAGTTCTGCCTGTGTCTATGAATGGGCAAAGGAGGGGAAGGTAAGTGTGTGTTTGTGTGTGCGTGTGCATGTGCGTGTGCGTGCACGTGTGCATGCATGAAAGAGAGAAAAAGGGAGAATAGATGGAGGAGGTGGACTCCTCAGTGGCTTAGAGGATTGCACTAATGTATTTTGAAGGAGGGCTCTGGACACTGTAGTAATGACAGGGAGCCCATCAACAGCACTGAGACTACTCTAGAGGGTATTTTCCACTTCCACCAAGTAATGAATGGCACTCCCTGCAAAGGGAAGTTCAGGTTCTTACCCAGTGAAGCTATGTTTTATCAGCCATGCAGTGAGTCAGATGGTCCTGTAGAATCCCTGATAGGAAAACTCACCTAGCAATCCAGGGTTGGGAAATCTCCAGGAGTCATTATACGTTGAATACTGTGGGTGGCTGTACGGACTTCCAGAGAACTCACCCCCTGAATCAGAGACAAAGAACTGGACATTAGAAACACAAGTAAGTTACATAAGTGAAAAGAAGCAACTAGATACATTCCATAGGTTAGTTAATATGCAAAGTAACACTTAGCCAAGGCACTAACACCTTTGTTCTCTGTGGAATGAAAGCTCTCTGAAGTCTACAGGTGTTCTTCGATAGTCACTACAAGAGAATCCTATAGCTAGATATTAGGGTATTGCTCATAGAAATTTTGGGTCACATTATTCTAGGTGCAGGGGCCTTGCCCCTAGAATTCATTTACATCAGTATTAAGTCCAAGCCACCATTCATTTGGCCAGTCTGAAAGCAAGAAATTAAGACATCTCCTCAGCCAAGTTTTCAAATGTGAGAAGGCAATGGGGTAGGTAGTTAATTTGCTAGGCACTGACCACCCTTTCAGTTCTTCAAGGAAGATTATACCTCTGACTCTTTAAGTGAGCATGGGCAAGCCTCATGACCTGTCTCCATTTCTGTCACCAGGACAGTAATGTTCATATCTATTTAAGAAGACTCTGAGATCCTACTGTGAAAGACTAATAAATCTCCAAGCATGTCATGCTGCTGTGCATGTCACTGTGCTCCAAATTATCTCCATGTTAGCTCCATCCCTCCCCACCTACTTGTTCGCTCTGTTTACCATTCCTTGTTTTATAACTAAGGCTGCAAGCTTTTCAGGGCAGTATCTACCACAAAGCACCCTGATCCCTAGTGGGCGTATCTGAGACTATTATCATACGAGGAATAGTAATAAGTGTTATTATTGAAGCCCTACTTTTTCTATGATTCTAAACAATCTTCCATCTGTCATTTTTTTTCAATTCTCTCTCATGCATGCACATGTGCACGCACACACACATATATACACTACTTTCTGCATGTATGGTATATACAGGCAAGTATATAAAAAGTTAAGTCCACTACCCAGTTGACAATGGCCAGATGATGCTGAAATTAACCCTTGCCAGTCCTTCCCTTTTACTTATCCTGTTGTCCAGTTACTCTGCACAGTGACCCTGCTGAAGGCTGGCACATTGACTTTAACTTGCACTAGCTTGAGCCACAAGTTTATTCTTTATCTACCAGGTGGGTTTCCCTTACCAGACTATAAATAATGCCAGGCACTTTGTGCATGATTTCCATCTATTCATGAAATAATGCAACTTGCACAAGATGGTCTTCAGCATAAGACGATATATACAAGTGTCCCTCCAACAGTAGATATAACTAGAGGTCTACCCAACTCAAGGAGGCAGCTGGCCAATTTTATGGGGAGATCTCAAGGCTAGCTGCCATTTTTGCTGGCTGATCACAGCAGGTGCCCCCCCCCCCATGTTTCTGATTGGCCAAGGCACCCTGGTGGCCACACCCCTCACCACTAATAGGCCACAAGGGCTGCCAATTGATGGAGAGGGGCAGGGCCGCACAACAGGCAGCCCTCTCAGCCAATCAGAAGTGAAGGGTAGGGACAACAGTCATCTTGCAGGCAGCAGCCATCTTATATTTGCATGATAATTTCAACCCTTGTACAATGTATGATCAATAATAGCAAAAGTGTTCAAAATGTACAAGAATGCTCAGGCAGCTAATTGATGCAGCATATACAAAACCCGAATCACTCTCAGGGAGTCTTAACCAACTTTTGGGTTTGCTATCAGCATTTTCTTATGACTGCCTGCCTCAAAATAAAGAAATACTTCAACTTGGAGGACCCAGTTCTCACTCACTCACTGACAAGTTATAGTGAGCAATATAAAGTAAATAAGAACAAGACGTATTTGCATACTTATTTTCATAGTTGTTTGAATATTTTTTCAGTGTACGATAGTCTTTTCAGCAAATACGATAATTTTGAGATTCCAATATGATCATTTCATATTTAAGATCTGGCAACGCTGCCCCACTTTCCCCCTCCCCCCCAGCAGGCTGTACAGCCAGATTGGAGCACTACTGGTTCCCTCTAGGGATCTAGCATTTCATTTTTTTGTAAGGTGTTTTTTTTCTGTGGATTTCATAGGCAGTGCCCATTTTTGCAGGCAATGCCAGATTTTGCAATTTCGGTAGGTCCCTAGATATAACACCTATAAAATAAGTCTAATATACTGTCACTGCAAATAAATTCCACAAAGCCAGTTTCACTGATCTTTGCATTTTGCGGAGGGGGAGGGGTGGTTGTTTTTGTTGTTTGTTTGGGTTTTTTCACTGTAAATCAACTTGCATTTCTAAGTGGAAAAAGTCGTTTCAAATGGAAAAATGAGTAATTTCCATTTAGAAATGTTGGTGTGTTTCCACAATTTTAAAACTTTTTCTAATTTTTTCTTAAATTAAATTGGTTGAAATCAATCTTTTCTTCCAAGGGTGTAGGTTGTAGCCATGTTGGTCTAAGGTCATAGGCAGACAAGGTTCCTTGGGTAAATCTGGTATCTTTAATTAGACCAACTCAAACAGCTGGAAAAATTCTTCTTAGCAAGCTTTCAGGCACAAACACCCTTCATCCATCTTTTCTTGCAAGTAGTTTTAGTTCCAATGAACCAGCATTTTGATGGAAAAATATGACAGCCAAACTTCATAATTGCCTTTTGGTTAAATATAATATGGGCCTGAATCAAAGCCCACTGAAGTTTCCATGATCTCTGATTCTTGCCCACTTCTTCCTTCCTCTCCCCCCACATCTGCTAAATGAGAAGCACATTTGAATAAGCTGCAAAACTATATGCTAAGTTGTTAAAAACAGGTGCACTGAAGATGCTCAGAGGAGTGCAAGGCACTCCAACACCAATAGTGTGAGTATAATAACAGAAAGCCTTATCTTTTTCAACTGGAGTAGCTCCATCAGAGCTAATAGACATATCCCAGTCTATGCGGTTCTGAGCTGCAATAATTTAGAAAGTCTTCTTATAAAGGAACTGAACTCTGGACAGCATTACAGTCACTGAGATAGTATGCTGGTGAGGTAGGGTTCAAGATATAAACTACTCTTATACTTTACTCCTATTGTTCTAAATTGGCCATTTCAGCTCAGTAAGGTGATGTGGGCATCACCATCTGTATGCAGAAAAGCAAACAAGAAGGAACAGGTTGAAAAATCATACAGGAAATAATATATTACTGTGACAAATCAATGGTATAGCCTCATCTGTACAGTACAGATTACCTCCATTTCCCAGGTGCGCTGCAAATAAGTACAAGTTGATAGTCACAAAAGGTACAGAAAACACCTCATATGCAGGGAGGGATTTGCTGCCTCAGGATGTTGTTGAGATCAAAAAATAAGCAGGCTTTAAAAAGCAACTGGACATTTATATGAATAACAAGAATATCCAGAGTGAAAATAGTTAATGATCACATAAATACCACACATTTTGGAAAGGATAGTAAGGTGCAGGCTTCATGGTTTAAACCAGCCTTTGTTTTCTGCAGATTTGGAGAAGATGTATGTGAAGAAAGATTATCTCACATCTGCCTAGTGCTCCTTCACCTGAAGCAGCTAGTGCTCGCCATAGACAGAGGCAGGATGTGGGGCAGGCTGTCTGTCCTTCTTTTCCTAAGATTGCTTCTTAGAATGGGAAGGTCAGAAGCTATTTGTGTTTCCACACTGACTGCTAAAGGCGCTGTCATAGGAATAAAAATGAAAAATAAAGATTCAAATAGTTTAAGGTAAGATTATTAAACATTATTCTTTAAAGATCCTATTACATTTTGACTAGATTTCTATAAAAGCCTGGGGTGGTTTTTTATTACTGCTACCATACAACTATATTAATCACTGTGAGCCACTGAAAATAGAGTTGTTCCCAAACTTCTATTCCTATTAAAGTACATAGCATATACATTCCCTCTCTGTTCCCTGTCCTTTTGAGTGATGAAGGACACTGTATACAGTTCCTGAAGGTTAACTTGGCCATAATGTTCTTTCTTGTTTTAAAAAAATGAGTTACAGCAAAGAGGCAGGAGGAAAAGGATCGGTGAGAAAGTGGAAATGACAGCAAAAACAGGAGTGAGTCTAAGGGGAAGAGGAGGAGCTAGCCCAACAAAGGAGACAAATTAGGCAAAGGAAAAGAAGTGAGAGAGAAGAGAAAGGAACTGTCACAAATAGACACAAAATATTTTCCTAATCACAAAATATAACTGAGGCCTCCACTATACATGTTTTTGGACATGTAATTGATATGAATAATGGACTTATGGAGCAGGAATTAGAGACACAAAAGTGGTAACATGAAGGCCAATACGGAATGGGTTATCATTGTCTTTGGGTGAGAAGTAAGCATTACCTCACTGAGCCTGAGCATTTCATATTGCCCTCCTGTGGTGCATAACCTCCTATGACTGCCACTTGCAATTGTTCTCCTTCAGCTCCTGGGTTTCCACAGAATTCCCATGTTCTAAATCTAAGATGTACCTGTGTGGTTTGGCAGGAAACTCTATGTTTTAGCACAGGGATGCTCAATCTCCAACCCTTGGGCCCATATGGGGTCCACAAAGCCATATCATCCAGCCCACCAGGATCCACACAGGTCCAAAATGTTGGCAGCAGGTGAGTGGCGGCTGCTCTCCAGCTGCCAGCTTTCCAGATCCACGGACCCTGGGGCCTGATTCAGGTGGCATGAGGTAGGATCCTGGTGGGCAGGTTCTGATCTGGTCAATGCAAAGTCAGAGCTGGTTGCATGAGGTGCAACCCTGCACAATAAACCTGTGTGGGATCTGCAGAAAGCCCAGCCCCACACTACTCATCTGGCCCTGGGGCCAAAAGGTTGAGCAGCACTGTTTCAGTAGATGCAGAGGTATTACAGCACTTCTCTTGGTATACATACCAAGCTTCTGGTACCCTTTTTGTAGCTGAAGATACCTATACAACCTAAACCCCTTTCTTGGGTTTCCTCCTTGCTCCTGGTTCCCTCTTCAACTGAGACTCCTATTCATGCATTTGGTACTATCATACTGCATTTGCCTGAGGCAGCAAAGCATATGGAATGGAAAAGT